GAAAATGTAATTGGAAACCGCGTAAACTGTGACCATACTACGTGGGATTTGACTTAATATATTACAACATGGAATATATCGAGATCCTGACCAGATAGAAAGTTACTGTCTCCGACCAAGTTGTTCAGGAGGTCAAAGCCTATTGCTTGGTGCTCAATAGTTCAGAATTTGCTCACTACGTGACGCTAGTATACACGTGAAAGTGTCATATAAAATATCTTGAGTTCCCGACCAGACAGAAAGGTACTGTCTTCGGAATAGTTGTTCAGGAGGTCACGGCCTTTTCGCAGGTGGACAGTAGTTCAGAGTTTTCCCACTTCGCTGCGCTTTTATACATGTGAAATTCTCGCATATAAAATAACTCTAGATCCTGACCAGATAGAAAGTAAATGTATTCGGCAAAGTTTTTCAGGAAGTCAAAATCTTTTTGTTGGGTGACAATAGTTCAGAATTTTCTCACTATACGGCGCTTGTATATACGTGCCTTTCTCGCATAAGCTATATCTCGAGATCTTGACCAGACAGAAAGTTTCTGTCTACGACAAAGTTGTTTAGAAGGTCAAGGTCTTTTGGCTGGTGCACAGTAGTTCAGAATTGTCTCACTTCATGGTGCTAGCATACATGTGAAATTCTCGCATATAAAATATCTCAAGTTCTTGACCAGATAGAAAATTACTGTCTTGGGCAAAGTTGTTCAGGATATCATAAACTTGTTGCTCGTGGACAGTTGTTCAAAATTTTCTCACTACGTAGCGTTAGTGAAATGTGAAATTCTCGCCTGTGATAAATCTCGAGATCCTGACCAGATAAAAAGTTACTGTCTTGAACAAAGTTGTTCAGGAGGTTAAAGCCTATTTTTTGGTGCACAATGCTTCAGAATTTTCTCTCTACGCAGCGCTAGTATACACGTGAAATTTTCACGTATAAAATATATCGACATCCTGACCAAATAGAAAGTTACTGTCTTCGGCAAAGTTGTTCAGAAGGTCAAGGTCTTTTGACTGGTGAACAGTAGTTTAGAATTTTCTCACTGCGCTGCGCTAGTATACACGTGCAATCCTCATATATGCTACAGCTCGAGATCCCGAACAGCTAGAAAATTACTGTTTTCGGCAAAGTTGTTTAGGAGATCAAAGCTTTTTGGCTGGTGAACAGTAAATAGTTCAGAATATTTTCGGTTTGCGGCGCTAGTGTGCATGTAAAATATTTGTATAAGTTGTACATGAGGCAAAGTTCTTCCGGATGGTGAGTTGATTAGTTCAGAATTCTTTCGCTTTGCTGCTTTAGTATACATGTGAATTGTAAAATATTCTGAATCAAATGCAGCTTAATTATTTGGATGTGAAAAGGAACTCCATTATACCCAATATAGGTTTAGAAGTCATTAATATAGTTCGATGTGATCATATTATTTGTACCTTATTTAGTGCAAAACCTCGAGCCACACACTGTTTTTATTTTTTTTCTCTTCTAACGTAACATATTTTATACAGATTTTCTCTACATATGATATTAACAACCTTATCAACGAATCATCTTCATTAGCATCATCTGTTTCACGACTGCTGCATAGCGTTGTAACCGCAGCGTGTTGTTAACATGTAAATCCTTTGCATCTACCACATGTGAGAGTTCTAGATGTGTTTTGGGTACGTCCGCAGGTTTTACAAGTTCCCTTCCTTTTTTCGCAGATGACTTCTCTTATGTGCTTCCATGATCGTTTGTTGGCACAACTGCTTGCAAGAAGGATTTAACGTCTTTTGGGAGACTTTGGATAGCTGCCCTCAAGATTAATTGCGCGTTCATAAGACCGACAGCCAAATGATGAAGAAACACTCTTCTGAATTTCGGCGAGTCCTTTCTTCTTATTGACTTATCAATGATTTGTGCATTTATACATGATGAAAACCAAAACAAGTATTTTACGTTAGTATAGTACTACCACTTTCTTATCTAAATTGTATTACCAGAAATATTCAAAATTGTATTGAAGATGGGCCACCTGTTTGCAACCGAAAATGTTTCACAAAGTTGGTCAACTGTGTCGACGCCACCTTTAGTACGATTATAGTCAATAATAATATGTGGCTTGCTCGACTCAGTATCGACGCTTCCAAAATCGTGTGTTGTCGACAGAAAAAAAAACACCTTTGTTCATTTTTGTATTGCCGCGCTTAAGTTAAATTCTCATTTGGCTACGGTCGAAGCGCGCCGCTCATAAGCGCGATGCAACTCCGCCCATAAGGATTATACACAGGTGGGTAACTTTGATAGTATTTTATGGCAGCGGCTTGAGGAGCGAATCCTGGATAAGGAGCCGCCGTATGTTAAATGAATGGGCGTAGTCGTACGGCTATAAACAAAGAACAGATGGTATAATCCCATTTTCAGAATTTATCCTGCCACACACAATATCTTGACGAAATGCGAAGTCGGCGTGTCCTACCGGTTTATTCATGTTGGGTTGAAAACTAGGGGGTATTTCTCTTTTATTTTTTCTGAGAGTTCCTAGGAGCGTTATCTTTTTTTCTGAAATAATGATTCCGCTAGCGGGATGCTGGTGTACCAGTTATCTGTACGCAAAGATCCTTGAATAGGGATGGCAAGCTTTTCAACTATATCTCTTGTAGAGTTGGATGTCTCGTATGGCCCCGCAGGTTGTTTTCCAACACCTCAAGGTTGGTTGTAAAAACTGTCTTGGCATCACACATAGCAAAAAATTCGATCCCACATTTGGCGGGCTTACCTGGAATATATTGTATCCAAGAACAGCGTCCCCGGAAAGGATGTAGCATTTCGTCAACTTCTTCGGTGCATGAATAAGTACTGTTGATATTCCCAACAAATTTGTCAAAAATTGATCTGATTGCCGCCAATTTGTCTAGTTTTCTCCGATTCGCACTAGAATTTATTTGAATGGTACAAATGGTATAGCATAACAGTTTTACTAATACTTTTAATTTCATTTTTTTTTTCAACTCAATTCTGAGAAAATCAATTATGATTCTTCAGAGAAAATTTTGAAAAATAGTGTAACTTTGGGTGAACCTTTTGAAAATTATATTGAGCAATTTTCCTCTTCGTATTTCCTTTAAAAATTTTCAAAATTTGACGTAAAATGACAAAAATATGAACATAACACATTTGCGTGTTTTTTGGGGGTGTCCATTCAACTGAGCAAAAGTATCTCACTCTCTGAGTTAGTCTCGTTGTCCGTGCACACGTAAATGTAGGGATTTTTTTTTGTTCTAGACCCCTCGATAAGACATTTTGAAATTAGCCTAAAATGAAAGGGAGACTCTAAACATTCATTTGGAGGAAGTTTCAGCGATATTGATCTTTTGACATAATGTTTTCCATTTGAGATACGTGTTACCCCTAATTTATCAGAGGTTTACAAGTGGAACGACTCACCCCAATTTATGTATCCACAAATCTGCATGACAATCTTCACCAGTAAAAGAAATCCAGAATATATTTGTCTTATCCCATTAAGGCTGATGTAAATTATATTTTTATTTTATGATATTTGATAAGCGAGAATTGCCCGCCAAGTTTTAAGAAATTTCTGAACTACTGTTCATCAGCCAAAAGATTTTTTTCTCCTTAACAGCTTTGCCGAATACAGTAAATTTCTAGCTGTTCAGGATCTCGAGATATTATATATGCGAATATTTCACGTATATCCTAGCGCCACGTAGTGAGAACATTCTGTACTGTCGACCAACGAAAAAGTTTTAATCTCCTGGACAACTTTGCCGATGACAGTTTAGCAGGTCTCGAAACATATCTAATGCGAGAATTGCACGTGTTTACAAGTGCAATGATGTGAACAAAAAAAATTGAATTTCTGTCCACCAGCCAAAAGGCCTTGGCCCCTTGAACAACTTTGCCGAAGAAAGTAACATTCTATTTGGTCAGGATCTCGTGATATTTTATATGTGAAAATTTCACGTGTATACTAGCGCCGCTTAGAAAATTCCCAACTATTGTACACCAAGCAATAGGCTTTGACCTCCTGAACAACTTTGTCGAAGACAGTAACTTTCTATCTGCTCAGGATCTCGAGCTATTGCATATGCGAGAATTGCATGTGTATACTAGCACCGCGTAGTGAGAAAATACTGAACAACTGTCCACCAACGAAAAGATCTTGACGTCCTGAAAAACTTTGCCGAAGACAGTTACCCTTTTATCTGGTAAGGATCTAGAGATATTTTATATATGCGAGAATTTTACATGTATACTAGCGCTGCGAAGTGAGAAAACTCTGAACTACTGTCCTTCAACGAAAAGGCCTTGACCTTCTGAACAACTTTGCCCAAGACAGTAACTTTCTATCTGGTAAGGATCTCGAGATATTTTATATGATAATTTCACGTGTATACTAGTGCCGCGTATTGAGAAAATTTTGAACTATATTGTGCACCAAGCAATAAGCTTTCATCTCATGAACAACATTGTCGACGACAGTAACTTTCTATCTGGTCTTGATCTCGAGATATATCACATGCGATAATTTCACATGTATTCTAGCGCTACGTAGTGAGACAATTCTGAACTACTCTCCACCAGCGAGAAGGTTGTGATCTTTAGAACAACTTTGCCCAAGACAGTAGCTTTCTATCTGGTCAAGATCTCGAGATTTTCCATGTTGTAACCAATTAAGTCAAATCCCAGGTTGTACGGACACCGTTGACGCGGTTTCCATTCACATTTTCTCTATTATCCACATTTTTTGGGGTTAACTGTGATAAAAGTTTAGCTTGTTTATTTAAAAAACAAGTTTTTTTTTTTAAAGAAATACTCGTTGGTTTCAAATCGATTGGTAGCTCGGCTGCAAAATGGCAGTGGAAAACTCACACTGTTACAAAACTCACACTGTTACAAAACTCGTGTTACAAAAGTTGGCGCGAGTAACGGAGGGTTAATATTACCACGTAACTTCCACATACTGTTTCTTAAAAGCAGTACTAAATAAAATTGTAGAATCACTTCCTTTTCGAAAGTTTGTTACTGCACCTTGCTTAGTATGTTCTGTGAATTTCACAACTTTTCTCAAACAATATTATGGAAACCGTTTGTACCGTAAAGCGCCATAATAATGTGCATAGTTGAAAATCAGATTAATTATAAATTGTGGGTAATTTGAATTGGGTTGAACATGTTCATAGGTATTATTCACAATGCTTTAAATGTAAAAAAAAACAACATTTCTGATTCAGCGCAAACAACAAAATAACTGAATTAAATTGTTATTATTTCTTCGTGAAACAACTCTAAACATAAACGCTTTTATTCCGGCACATAAGCCAACAACAAACATCACACATCGCAACAGCTTGCCAGCATCTAACAGTTTCAGTCGCATTCCGCCGCCATTATCACCACCTAGCAATCTCGTTCGTTGTTTGAAAGAACAACGCCTCTCCGCACTTACTCCGTCACTAGAGCTTCCTCATCGCCGTCGACCTCCTCCGTCCGTTCGCGAGCACCATCCGTTTTGAACCGCACAAAGTTGGTTCCAGGTTGTAACACTGGCTCATGTTCGATCAGCTTACCAATCGAAACCAGGGTCATCATCACATGAAGGGTGATATCTGCCGGAAACAAGCAAATTCGTGAACCATCTTGTAGGCGTCGATATTTCAAATTCTTAGTATATACTTACAAAGAGCCATGATTATCGTGAATGGATTCATAAATACCATATTATACCATCGTTTGTTCTGCCAAATCATTACAATGTCCCGCACTACCAGCAGGAACAGTTCCAACATGAACAGGGGTATGAATGGGTAAACAAATTGTTTATCTTCCTGAAATTGTAGCTATAATTCTCATTCCATCGACTCAACATTTGTCAATCTAACCTTAAAAATGCCATAGAAAAGTGAAATCCCCACCGCGAACCCTATGACGCCGAAAAGGAGGGCACCACTTCCCATGAATCGATAGTTGTAAACTGCAAAGTTGCCCACTTCAGATTAGAAAAAAGAATCTTATGATCACTAATTCAGAACCTACATTCCTCCAGTGGGTAGTGAAAGTCCGTGTTTGCGAAGATGGTAACGGCCGTGAAAACCGAGCCCAAAATTGTGGCGATCGCAATGACATAACTTTGAAATTTGATGTAAAATCGCAAATAGTGCTCCATGTTGCGAATCACTTGTTCACTGTTTAATTACGACTAATCTAGCGTAGTTAGGTCTAGTTCGTCAGCAGTTGGCAGTAGACCGGTTCCGTCGAGTGTATTAATTGAACTGGTTCTCGGACTTGCTGTAGAATCGACCGACACTATCAGCCAGAGATAGGCTAGTGGGACGGCTAGAGTGAGTTCGTGGAACAGTTGTTGTTGTTGATGTGATATATGTACGCGCGAGATGCATTTGGATTACTCGTATGAACTTATAGAGTTCCATGGCGGATTCCGGCAAAATTGGACTATTTTCGTCACGCGTCATAAATTATTCTTATATTTTCAATGATGATATACTAACATCAACAAGAAGCTTTAGTGTGATCATTTATAACTAGAGAAAGTTTTAAAGAGGATAGGTTGATAGTTTAGTTATGTGTCGCATTAATGACCCTTCGCTCAATTTCATTTTCTATTCAATTTTCACACTGTCGTACTCTAGCGGAACTATGAACCTAACTTTAGAATTTTCACGCTAATAAATTATAAGCTTCATGTTGATATTAGTGTAGCAATTCCAACCAACTCTAATAATCGTAAACATCACGTACGAAGTAACAAAAACACTTTGAACATTTTCAAATGCTTACTGTTCAATATATTCAATGAGGTGAGTAAATACCTTGGACGAAATACTTTGGTAGTAGGTGTAGGACCCTATTCCATCAAACGAAACTGAATAGCGATTATGAGTAAGAACTGTACACTAGAAAATTATAATGATTAGCTTATCACCAATGCCAATGTTAACCAGAATTATGAGAAGTATGGGAAAGACTCTCTTTTGGTGTCTCAACGCACACCACAACAAACCACACATTGTTTAGGGTTGTAGCACTAATGTTGGTCATTTGCAGTTGCGTGCGCAAATGGTTTTGAGTTCGCACCCCTTGCGCCGTCCTGATACTGAATAATCCAAACAATTATAAAATTTATATAGACATTCTACTTTCCCTGTTATTGTAATACAATCTTTAAAAACTTAAAGAAAAGAACAATAGTCACTTAGAACGTCTAACTACTACTTCAATATCATCCAAAAAAGCATTAAGTTTATATCGACACCTTAAACGCCCTGCTGTTCAACCTCCAAACAGAATTTTGAAGACATCTGTAGTCTTACTATGCGCCCTTCTGATACTTGTCATTCAAAAAATCATGATGTTTCTAAAAACATTTGAAACACCCCTGAGTTGCAGATCAATCATCCCAAATGTTGCTATAAGCTTAATTGAAATTCCTTGCAACTTTAAAGTTATCAAACAAAAAAAAATCATCATATTTCTACACTATACAGCTATCCCCAGAAGAACGCGGTACCCACTGAGTTGCACCCACCGCTTTTTCTCGTTGGGGTTTCAACCAGACGGTCTGATTTTTTGCATGTGAGTAGTGCCAATGAAGAACTAGTCACTCGCAGAAAATCAGAGCGCTTGGTTGAAAACCCACCAAGACAAAGTGGTGGGTAGAACTCAGTGGGTAACGCGTTCTTCGGGGGAAAGCTGTACACTTTAAACGCCAGTTCAACCTCCCAACCAGTGTTGGGAAAATATCAAAAGATCAAATCTCACCAATGAGCATAATCTCATTTGAGTATCGTAGACAAAAATCAACATGCAAACAACAGCGGATGATACTACAAGCTGTGATACGGTTGCTCTGATATCATTCTAAAAAAAAACTCACCAGCTCACCAAACTGTGGTGAGTTTGAGCTTAAAGATTTTTGCTGTACACCCAAACACGAACCGAAACTTCCATCACTGCCAGCGTTGCCAGTATTCCAGATTTATCTGGATGTTCCAGATTTTTAGTCGTGTTGCCAGATACACAGACAGACCACGTCTATTTCTAGATTTTTTAAATATGTTCCAGATTTTCCCAGATTTTTTAAACATGTTGCTTTAAAAATATCACTGCAATTGATTAACCAGCTGTTAAAAAAAAAATCCTAATTTGCTACTTGAATTATTAAAAGCCATCAACGTTGGACATTATTGGAATTTTAAGGTAATTCTACAAAATAGTTCACGGTGAAGTGTGAGGTGAATTCCTTGGGAAATTAAAGGAGAACTTCAAGCTAATTCTGAGTAGAGCTCCATCCATCATTGTGAGCTTCGTGGTCGTGTTGCGTCACCCGTCGTTCAGGCTTATTGTGAGTTCCTCGAAGTGAGAGTTCGACTCCCGCTCCAGCCGGTGCAAATTTTGGCAACATGAAAATTTCCCTAATGGTCTACTGGGTGTGGTGTGTTAAATATTCAGTCTGTGTAACCTCTGGTTGAAGACGGTGTCAATTGTCTTGTCAACTCTGATGAAAATGATGATACACACTTAGAAATTATCGCCGACTTCGGTAAATTTTACCGAAATCTGAACAGCTGAACTGTTCGGTAAAAATTATGCAATTCAATTCAGTTGCTTTTCCAAGTGTGTAGGAAATACAATCCGGAAGAGAAATCATAGAAAATTGTTATGATGAAACTTAAGGAGTATGCGAATCGTGAGAATAATTTCAATGGTATTCTGTCCAATGTTTCTATGGAGATTCATTTAAATAAAATTTTAAGACATTTTAACGGAATTATGTGCAATTTCTGGGAGACTTTCAAGGCCATTTTGGCAAAGTAATTGAGTGCTTAGGAAATGCTCAAGAGGATTTCAAAATAATTCTGACCTTATCTGCAAAGCATTCTAAAGGTAATTATCGGATAATTCTGAGAAGAGTGTGACCGTCATTCTGAAAAATGCACCAGGGAAATTATTAGGAGTACTTTAAGAATTTGGGCTCAAAATTATGCCAATTCTTGGGAAGTATGACCAGTTTGAGGGAATTGTGGAATTGGAGAGTAATTTATAAGAGATTACAAGAAGTAATGCTATGAACTCTTAAAATGTTACTGAAAAAGTTTGGATATTATCAAGATTATTTTAGGGGAATCCAGAAAATAAGTATGATGAAGTTGAAGGGTCATTCAAATGGAACTAATAAAAGGGCTTAGATATCCTGTGAAGAGTTCCAAGTAAATTAAGACTAACCAATATTTTCATGATCTGAGACCCAGGAAAAATAGAAATTCCGGAATTTATAATCATTTCAAGATCCTGCGACTTCAAAAATGACGCTATCAGACTTCCTTTTTAGTAATATAATAAAATTATTCTTTGGCATAAAATTATTCGGAGTTACCCGTAGTTTAAGGTAAACTTTGTGTGAGTACCACGAAGGTGACGAAAGTATTTCTAAGAAGATTATCATGTTGGTGTACGCTGATTCAAAAAGGAAATGGTATTAACATTGAGCTGTCCATAGTTGGGCGTTGTTGAACATGTGGTACTTTCACAACATTTCATGTAAGTACCAAAGTAACCATATAATCACAACATAACTTTTAATGTAGGTTCAGAGTGAGAAAATGTCACTGAGATATGGTTAGTTGGGTATTCAGATGACTATTACTTCAAAAAACTAATCCTGGTCAAGGTTGCAAAGACTAATTTCAGCTAAAATAATGTTTTTCGGAATAATAAAACCAAAAGATGGTATGATGGCATGTTTTACTTGTAACTTACAAGAAGAGGTTACAAAGTGTGTGTTGGAAACATAAAACCTGTAAATTTTGCTTTCTATGAGTCACAATCAGCGATTTACTGATCGCTGAGTGAGTGAGTGAGTTTGTGAAAAATCGCTGATTGTGACTCTCATGAAGTGAAATAAACAGGTTTAATATGTCAAAAACATTCTTTGCAACCTCTTCTTGTATCCTACCAATTCAAAACTTGATCATGGCATCTAATTATTTCATAATTTAGAAAAACATTGTTTTAGCTGAAATGAGTCTTTGCAACCTTGATCCTGGTTGTATCTCTTTTTCGTTTGCAGGTAACACTGTTTGATATTAGAGCCCACCGCTGTCGGACTTAGTTTCCGTGCTACAAAGCGTGGTAAACCACTATCATCTACTTTGTGTGAGTACCACGATGTTAGGCTTTGATTCCCACTTCAGCCAGGTGAATTTTGCTTCAAAATAAAATTGCCTACTGGTCTACTGGGTGTTGTCTGTTCTATGACATCAATAGTTTAATTGTTAATCTAATAAACCTCAGGTTAATATTAGAATTATGTAGAACTAAAAAAAAAACTTTATATTCTGGTACTGCATCAAATAGTAAGGACTACATCGACTATTAGTTTAAAAAAATCCATCCCATCAAATTTGCCCAATTCTTTGCTTCTCATTCTTTTTAAAAAAACATTAAAAAAAAACAATTTTAAACATATTTTCTGCAGTATTTTACCTACATTTAATTCAATTTTTGAGCTGCTGCGTAATGGATATTTAAACTTTTTGGGCACACTGTGTCAAAACTTTTCAACTTTTGGATGATTTTGCAATGCTAACAAGTTATTTGCTTTATGTAATTTATTTAAATATGTAATAGATATTTATTTATTCATGTAACATGTGTCAATCACTTTGATTTCAATAGCATTAGGTTAAAAACAGGATTTTTTGGAGCATTCCAGATTTTTCCAGATTTTTTATTTTAACTGGTCCAGATGTTTCTGAAAATGACCTGGCAACGCTGATCACTGCTGACAGTTACTGCTGTCGTGTATGTCAAGAGAAATAGTAAACTATGCTTGTTTTTCTAAGAAAACGATGTGCAACGGAATCATTTTTGTGGTAAGTCAACTCGTAGCTACAATTTTACATTTTCGGAATAGTCTCGCAATATCAAAGGAGCTCGTTAAATCAATATCATGCTTGATATTTTATTCCAATATCGCGCGTGCTATTGGGAGCCCTTGAGAGCGAAACAAAATCTTTTGATTGAGTATAATGCCAGCACTGCTCCCAACATTTCAAAAGAGCTCAATAGTCACTTAGAACGTCTTCCTGCTACTTAAACATAATCCAAAAAATCTTCAAGTTTCTAGAGATACCTCAACCGCCCTGTAATCATGTGATTTTTTTTCCGTGCCTTCGACTTCGCCCCGCAATCCTCCTTAACGATCTTCCGTGCCGTAAAGTCACTGATCCCGTGTTCCTTTGCCATTTTCCTTATTGCTGGATTCACCCGAATCTTCCTTTTGATAGCAGCGATAATCCTCGGAACCCGAGCTGACCTCGGA